TTGTACAAACTAATTGTAATATTGATGTAAATGCTAAATTTAAAAAAACAAAAATTTATTTATCTTTAGAAATAAAAAATATAGAGTAAATTACTGTAGAAATTAATTGGTTCGAAACGAGCTGTTGTATAAATACCACCTGTTGGTAAAAATTCAGCAAGTAAAGTAACTGCAGTTAATAATTCAACACTTGGATTATATAATGTTAGTTGAATAAAAACAGCTCTTGTTTTCTCATCAATCCAATCTAATTGATGAAGTTTAGATAAATTTGTTTTCATATCAGATAAACTACCACGAAATTCATATACATAACCACCTCCTCTATATGTTGCAAATTCACCTACATATGTATATGTATCTAATTCATCACTCGTAGTATAGTTAAATGCTTTTATCACCGATGAACTGAATTCTTCAGTCGTTGCATTTGTTGTCCATCGTGGTTGAAATAATTCTGTTTCTTCATTAGCAAAACTATAACTATCTTGGCATGTTAAAATAACACGTTGATTGGGGCATAATTCTGATTTAACACGTAATTGTCTCATTGTTGCCCAACCAATGAATCGATTAGATTTATCATTTAAAAATCCATTTAAATATTGTGGAATATCTCCATTATACCATTGTTGTGCACGAACATTTGAAACAAAACTATTTTCTAACCAATACCAATATTCATCGATTGTATTGATCTGGAAAAAAACAAAATTCATTTCAATACAAGAAAAGAAGAACAAACTTTAGTATAATCAACTGTAGTTTGTCTTTGATCGAGAAAATAAGCCCGTAAATGATTGACTTGAAAAAAACTATGTTGTTCACGATTTGAATAAGTTATGACAAAAATTAACATTGCAAATATCAAATTAATCAGAAATTCTCGAATAATTGTCAACATTTGAATTTGTTTTAAACGTTGATCACGAGCATGAGCAATTTCATTTTCATTAAGACGATTAATACTTTTTAAAGATGGAGAAGAAAATAACGAGTGAAACTATATACGGAAAATTAATTTTTTTTATGAAATACTAAAAGAAAACAAACCTCCGGTGATTGAAGATAATCTTCATCATTGCCTAAATTAAATTCATCATCATCATTTATATATTCACTTGTTTCTTTATCATTATTTGAATTTCGACAAAAACATATAAAGAATATAGCCAAACATACAATCTTCAATGAAATATATTGCAAAAATATAGATTAAAAGAAAATAGAAAGTATACTTTGATAGGTTGAGTAAGAACAACTGATGAGAAAAAACCAGT